AGCCAAACGTATGGCGATGGCGTTACAGGTCACTTCGCCACGCCGCCACGCCCACCTGCTCCATCAAAGCTGGTCAGGGTTGGAATCCTCAATACACCACATGTTTTCTGTGTCTGGGCACAGTTTCATGTTGATGAGGTCAAAGGGGTCAGATAGCGACTGTTCACAGTAAAACATTACACTTCCTGTTCTCAGGGGGCGTGGCCTAAGTGATGTCATCATTCGACCATAGGGTATTGTAGTAGACCCGATGATGATCAACAACAGTAATTTTGGTGCCTGTGTGAGTTTCTGTGTAGGAGATATAACAGTTTATTTTTTTACGGCGAGTAGGTGAACTTTGACCCCTGCTAACCCCCCTTCAGCATACTCAAAAACTCACCGTTTAGATAACTTTAGATGGGACATGCCTTATGAACAGACTGACCGAGTTTGAAGCCGATCAATCGAAATCCCTAGGAGGAGATAGATCAAATATGAAGGCTGTAAACGGCAAAAATGGGCTCAAAATCCGAACTTCTATCCAAAATGGCCGACTTCCTGTGATACTTGCACTATGACATTAATTGTAAATTTTGAGCGTCTTGGGGAGCTCTACAAGTGTACCAAATTTCATGTCTCTAGGATAAAGTAAGTGAATAGCAAAGGGTCCTTTGAAAATTTCAAGGTGGCGCTCTTGAGCCGTTTCTTGTGCGATTATTGCAATGACCTTAAAATACAAAATTTTGAAACTCCCTTTATGCGTCCGCCAAGTTTGGTGAGTTTTTGAATATAATAAAGCCCTCAAAAAGCCAATTTATTTGGGTGGAAGAATAATAAGAATAAGAAACAGTAGGAAAACAATAGGCCTTCGCAGCGCTTAGCTGCTCGGCCTAATAATAACAATAGGAAAACAATAGGCCTTCGCAGCGCTTAGCTGCTCGGGCCTAACTAAAGAAAAATTTAACTGAAAATTTACTAATTGAATGGAATTGCATTTCCCCGTGGAATAAATAAACTTCATTTATTTTCCCGTTTTGTGACTGGGAGATCATGTTACTCAAATAAAAGGAGGAATTTACTTAAATGCTTTATTCTTATCTTTACCAAGGATGCAAAAAGTTGCTACGTTTTGACCTGGAACCCAACACTGAGAAACAACCTGTGGTTTTCTGAACTGAAAACTGGCTTTATATATTTATTTATATGTAAAAAAAATCAGCCAGCTTTATGACAGATTGGATGCTGTGTAAAGAAAAGTGAAACATAGACTTGGACTAGGCCCCGCCGACACACAATTTAAAACTAATACATCCATCCAAATGTGATTACTGGTGAAAAATGCTTTTCAAACATGTCAAATCCTGATGAAAAAACAACCTGGAGACGTCTTCCTCTGCTTTCGCTCATCTGCAACGCATCCATTCAAAGTGCATGTCATGCTGCAGTAGATCACCTGGCCTGTGAATTCTAAAAAGAAAAAGAGAAAAAAATTAAAAATTGGCCCTCTCTGTGTGTTTTTCAGCCTGCCTAGTGCCAAAGGCCTCAGAGTCTCCAGATGTTCCCTAAATCATGCTGGAAGGCAGATAAGAAATCCGCTTTCAACAGATGTCTTGTGCCTGGACTCGATGATTTATTAGCTATGAATGATGAGACAGTGCTCCAGTGTCTTGCAGGCCGACTGGCTTTTATCATTATGCAGGCAGCTGTGAATCTGGGTGACATCACGTCAGCGGACGGGCGCGAGAATGAGGCGGCAACTCCGCTTTTCGCATTTTTATGTCTTTGCAAATGCAATGGATCCGAGGTGACCGGGTCTCCCTCTCTCTCTCCCTCTCTCCCTCCCTCTCTCTCTCTCTTTCTGTCTCTCTCGCTTTCTGGTTTTTAGTTTTTTTCTGTTGCTTGGCTGGAGTGTGACGCAGAATGAGGGGAATGTGGAGCCGGGGCAGCGGAAGACTTGCGTCGCAGCTGTTGTTTTCAGCTAAAACGCCAAAAATGATCGTTTTGACAAAATCGTCCCGACTCGGGGTCGAGGGAGTTCTCATGGCAATAAATGGGCTAAGTTGCAAAGCGCACCACTCAGTAGAGAGGACTTCAAGTCCGCAAGCAACTTTTCTTAAGACTTAACATGAAAAAAAAACAATAAATAATTAAATTTATAGCAAAATTTCTAAATTTAATATTTGAACACAATTGATGGCATGTCAGTTAATGTTCCTGAGGAGAAAAATATTGAACAAGTCAATGTCTGTAATTATTTATATAAAATTTGAATTGCAACACAGTGTGGAAACTATGTAAAAGTTTAGCATTTGAGCTCAAACTAGCGTCAATGCTACGCTGATTCCAGTGTTGTGCAACACTGGAATCAGCCGACGCTAGCATTCACCTAGCATTTTCGAAAGCTACTTTGTAAGAATCATTGAGAAAAGCAAAACTTAAGTTTACTGAAACCTTGACAAGAGTTCACATGCTGGCGTCAGCGTTGCATTTTTGGGAAATTGCTCCACAGGAATCACAAAAGTCATTGGAAAGAGCAAAACGTTAGTTAACTGAAACCTTTCCGTGTTTGTGAAGACTTTTACAGAGGATGCTGACCTACAGAAACACCTGTTGATGTCTGTCTGTGTATTAACGTCATTAAGGGAGGAAGGTCACACTGACCTGATGAGGTGCATCGTTGTCTTACTTTAAAGCTACAGGGTTTCTGAGCAAACAAATGATGTTGGTTTCAAAGACGTACCAGACTGCAAGGTTGGTATTGGCAAAACCTGGGACGTCCCTGGTTTTCACAATGTGTTTTCACCATCTAAAACGTCAGGCTTTGCAAACTTTCACTCGGACAATCTCAGCGGTTAAAGGAATTGGAGGTAAGGCGTATAGTTCTGGGTCGGGGGGGTTAGCTTGTGTCTGACAGCAACAATGACTGACAGAAACAGTGAGGGACTTGGACAGATGAGAGCCAAAGGTGGCGGGCGAGAGGGCGCACAAGGGTCAATGCATCGCCTGTGCATTGAGTGTGGCCCAGCAGCTGTATGCATAGGGGAGCCCCTGCCTCCTGCTCTGCATGTCAGGGGCCGTGATTAATGACCCCGCAGGCCCTGCTCCCAGCCCCCTCCCCGCCGCTTGCGCCACAGAAGTCACCGAAGCCACTTCTCGTTTTGGCTAATGGACGCGGCCGGGGTCGGACGGGCGCCCTGAGACGAATGCGTGTGCGGTTTACGCGAGGAGACGTGAAACGAAAACCAATTTTCCCTCCTCGCAAAACAACGCATTCCGCTTTTGCAGGGCCCGTGTGATTCTGGGGGTTTCAGAACGATGATTTCTTAGATTACCGTGGGCGCTGTGCAGTGTCGGGGCTGAGAGGGCCCCGGTGCCTGTGTACTGGTTCCCAGCTTGTCAGGCAGCTGTCGAGGAGTGATTTATGACCACTAGACTCCAACCTGTCTTCACTGCCAGTTCGGTATTGTTACAACTGACAGCTAATGAGGCCAGACATGCTTTCAAGCGGAGCACTTAACAGGACTTCAATCTTCCCCCGTCACGAGGACCATTTTTTCTTTTTCTTTTTTTTTCGTGCACACACTCCTTCACACGACAGCCTCCTTTCTCCATGCCTTCCTTGTTCTCCGTCTTTCCGTGTTGCGGCCGTATGACAGGAGCAGAAAAGGCCTCCGCTGACAGAAAGAGATGTTTCCCAGAGAGAAATGGCAGCAGAGAGTTTCACCGTTCTCTCCCTCTGACAGAATAGCTAATGCTCTATGTAACCGAATTATCGACTCACGTTTTGCTTTTTAACTTTGTGCTTCGTGAGTCAGAGAGCTGCTCAAATTCACAATCTGAAAACAAAACGAATGTGTCTACAAGACATTGTATCCGCCTGAACTGAGAGTCCTGGCAGAGAGGGAATTACTCGGAAATAAGCCAAGAAGCCCATTGCGGAGATCCACAGCTTAGATATAGAGTCTGTTGACAACATAAATCCTCAAATCTGGACTTTTGGAAGTAACATTGTTATAAAAGGGGGGTGGGATATTATGTATTTTCCAGGCAGATAGTATAATTGTACAGTACAATCAGCTAATTATGTGACCTTCCATTGTTATGAAAAATGCTATGTGCATCAAATATGACTTAAAAAAAGTTTTACTTCAAAGTTGAGTGCCTTTAAATTAGGTCTTTGTCTGTTTATATATATTGAGACCCTGATGCAAAGCTGAAAAAAGTTGATTTTACATAATGTTGCTTCTTCAAAATGCTGGACGAGAGAGCCAGAGGCGCTGGCGTTTGCAGGCCATTTGATGGAAACGGCAAACATGCGGATGAAGCCTCGTTGGTCAGATGAGACCAAACTTTGAAAAAAGACAAGACAAAAAAAAATACCCCACCGCTAAAAACAAACTACCATGCCTTCTCCGTCCAATCACATTGAGCTTGAGCCAATTTGCAGGTTTGCTTTAAACGTTTTAAACATTCGAAAAAACATTTTTTTACGTGACTGTGTTCACAGATACACCGACTTGTGGATTTTTCCATTGAACATAACTCCACATTATTTCTGGGAAATTCGCCTATACGAAATTTTTTTTTTTTGTAGAGCGTAATATTTGATGCTAGTTGACATGCCGTTGGCTGGCGGGTGCAGAGCAGCCAGTCCAGAAGAGGCATTTATTTTCCTTAGTACTGATTGGCAGAAATTAGGAAGACAGTAGATGTTAGCTTTTGTGTTAGTGCTGAGACTGCTTCCGCTGCGTGCATTAATGCACTTTAAGGTATATCTTATGCATAAATTAATAAATTAAGAGGTTATGAGTGTTACTACCAGGGGTCTCAAGTATTAATTGATTACAGGCATGCTGCTGTAATTATACTTAAATATGTTTTTAGAGGCTGCTAACTACAAGAGTTCAACATGACACACATTGTACAATCTTCATTACAAAAAATGCTGTAAAAAATTTATTGGTCTGTCCAAGTAAAGCACACTGACGTCTGTGATCGTGAGGCGAATAAAATGTGGAAAAAGTACAAATGTCAAAAGCAACAACATTTGAAACAGATTTCTTCCAGGTTTAACGACGATGCTTTTCCACAGCCTGCACTAAAAAAGGTCAAAAATGTTGTCAAATAGCAATTGGGGGGAAATGAAACTAAATTAATGTGGTAATTCCGTGACTGAAAAAAAAAAATCTAATAAATTTACAAATAGCCTCGCTGCTTTGTGAAATTGTCAGATTTAAGGCACAGTTCTCTCCACGTTAGCTCTCTGAAAGTAAATTTGGCTCCTTGGGCCACAGAAGGATTTTGTAATGAAATCAAAGAGCAGTGGGAAAAACTCTTGGCTGAGGGAAGGAAGGGCTGGCAGGCATAACAATTATGCAGAGCCGGAAACTTTTCAGCACCTCTTACTTTTTTTGGACGACGGTTTAAGCCACAAATTGGAACTGACTTGAATATACAACTTAGATTCATAAAAACAGAGATGTGACACTGCTTTCTGGTATTTTTATTATTATTTATTTATTTTTTTACATTTTCCTCCCCTCTGGAGAGATTACCGCTTAGTCAAAATTATGTTTCTGACAACTGCACTGCTTAAAGGAAAAGAAAGTCAAACCTATTATTCACTCATCAGGGTTTTTCCCCCCCTTTTTGCTGTTGTTGTTGTTTGTTCCACGTCTTCCAAAGAAAGGTCTCCGGATTTATGAAATGATCCAGTTTGATTGCAGTGAAACACTTTGCACTGATGTAGGTATTTTGTTCTAACGTCCATTAATCATTCCTGGGCCGTCAGAAGGCCGCGGCCGCTCCAACGCTCTGCAGCTCGCCGTGTTTCTGGTGAACTTTGTGGCTCAAACGAACATTTGTTTGTCAGGCGAACTGACGGAACAAACCTACGTACAGACCTCAACGCCTCTTTCAAGCCTTAGTGAGTGAATCAGATGTGATCGCATCGACTAAGCGACGTCGGTCTCGATGCATACCGGTTCCGCTTCAACATAAAATCAGTCACAGGGTCGGTGGCAGCGTTCCCACCTGTACGCCAGTGTTCCCTGTCAAGCATGATTAATGGCAGCCTCGCTGGGCGCTAACTTGCATTGCGTTGCAGGCTTGCACCATTGTCTCCTGGACAGCGAGTCCCCCGTTGCCCTCTGTCCATGAGGCCACGCCGTCGTCGCACGGTGCCACAGCGACTCCTGGAGTCACGAGAAGGGAAACGAGGAACAACACTTTGAATTTGTAGTTAGATGAAGGTGAACGTCTAAACACTGGACTGTTTAAGATGCCCAAATAACTTATGTAAAAAAAATAAAATAAACACACAGAGAAGCGGTAAAATTCTTTTGGATAATCATAGCTAAAAAAAAACTTTTATTGTTTGACTGTAAAGGCAAATAATTGAATAACCCACAAAAATTCGACTAACTTTCAGGTTTGATGTTGGCCAATTTGGATTTGCAAATTATAAACAAATGTAAAAATTTCAAAAGTGTAATGAAAATGTAGGAAATCGTGTTTCACTCTGATGTCAGACTGTACAATCAGGTTCATAACTAGATTTAGAAGAGCACAAACAAATAATCAATAATCCAAACATATTTTTTAGCACAGATGGATAGATGTACTGATCGAAATCATTATTTTACTATTATGCCATTTTTTAAAAATGAGGATTTCAGAGCAGATATATAGCATTAGCGTCTTATATTAGCAATTAGCATCATCAGACAAGTCAGCTTAAAAAACAGTGTGTGTTTGATAAAGGAGACTTGTGGGTGTCGGATCACAGGCCTGCAACTTGTCCACCTTGAATTAATCAAATGGCAGAATTACTTCCTCAGCAGCTCTATGCAATCTTGCTAATCATGTCAGAGCATCATGTCAGAGCAGATGCACATTTAAAAGTTCCCGGACAAACCCCCAATTTCAATCCTCTCCTCAAATTGTCATTTTAAAAAAAAAAATTAATTAGAGGGTGTCTGCATGTTGTTTCTCATCACCGTGAAATTTTTTCGGGGGATTTATCATCACAAGACAAGTTCCACTTAATAATTTTTTCGAAAACCCCAAAAAGTCACTTTATGTCAGAATGTTTTGCTTTTTTACTTTGCAATTTTCTGCACTATTGGTATCATGAGAGCATCAATAGACATAAAAACTTTTGAAAACACGATAAACTGTGTCTTCATGTGGCTGTCCGGAAGAAACGTATTTTAAAATTGGCAGGTTTTTTTGAGAGCAGTGTCTGGAACTGTAAGAAGTTGCAAAACCTTTTTGTAGCAACTTTTAATATTATTGCAATAAATACCACAAAATGTCATCATCTCTTGAGTTCATTTGGCACAATAATCCTATTTTTAGTCGCTCTCTTATCTGCAGATGATCAGTGGCTGGTGAGAACCTAACACGTGTCTCAGATGTAAACTGTGTGTTTTAGCTCAGTTTGAAACAACTAAAACTCTTGGAAACGTGGTTTTACGACTCTTCTAAATGTTTCCACTGGTAGAATATTGCTTGTTTGGGGTCATTTGTCCTGCACAGGATTCACAGCAACTATGTGCTGAATGTGGAAATTGAGCTTTTTGCAATATAACATTTTTTTATTACTTTTTTCCCCCGCAGAATACATAAAGTAATATAAAAAGAAAAACCCACCGATACACAACTGCTTACCTTGTTTGATTTTAGCACCGGAAGGACGAGAGTTTCCAAAAACGCACGAATCACATATTAGTTAGATTCTGCTGCCCCCTGCCGGAACTGCGTGCGACCTACACCGCTACATAGTGTTTTAGAACATTAAAAAAAACGAAAAACTTTTTCTTTTTTTTTTTTTTAAAGAAGAAACGCTCATTCAAAACTCACGAATGTTCCGCACAAAAAATAATCACATTACATAAATTTGCCGGACTTTATTTAGGACTCCGCTCTGCCCCGCTGCTCCCTCCTCCTTCTCCTCCTTCCCGGCTCCTCCTCTGGGCTTCTTCTCCGTCCGTCGAGCCGCGGTCCCGAACCACACGACCAGAAAGAAAAGAAAAGAAAAGAAAAGAAAAAAAAACAACTTCCCAGACTTTCTGAAAACCCTCCGCGCAGGGGCAGGAGGGGGAGGAGAGGAACCGACGGCGGCGGACGAGGAGACATGAACCGTGAAGGACGGTCCCGATGAGCGAGCCGGCGGACGCTCCTCTGACCCCGCCGCCCGGCCCGGATCAACTGTCCCGGGGGAAAAGCTTGACGTGAGTCTGGATAAAGATGCCAGGCAGAAGGGCAGGCCTTGCATTTCTTTTCCCTCCTCCTCACTTTAGTTTGTTTGTGTGTTGCTTTCTCTCTTTTTCTTTCTTTCTCTCTCTCTCTCTTTTTTTTTTTTTTTTGCTTGAGTGAAAACCGTCCAGACGCGATGGGACAACCAGCCGCTGTTTCGCTCCGCGTGCAGATGAAGCGGACGTGGCGCGCGCCACGACAGAAATCCAAGACGTGCAGAAACTTTCCTGCAAAACGTCCCGGGGGGCTTTTTTTTTTTTTTTTTTTAACTCTCCATTGTTACTTTTAAAGTGTCTCATGTCAGCCCTGCTGGTGGCGCCCTCTAGGGTCCAATTTACGTGCAGGACCAAAACAAAAAAAAAGGGCTTGTCTTTATTAATGCCTCCTGGCTACATGTTCAGTTAACCATTAAAACAACAACCGCAGCAGAGGGAGGCGAGTCAAAGCCTGGCAGCAGATGATGCATCGGTGGCTTCACCCAGGTGTGAAAGGCCCGCATGCAAAAAGTGTAATGGAACACCTTCTCACATGTCTGACTGTGCTCTCTGCTCCTGCTCCCTCAGGTCCTCGGAGGGGAACAATGAGGAGGAGAGGAGGCAGAGGAGGCGTGGACCGGCACCAGCAGACCTCCAGCTGCCGCCGCCGCCAGACTCCGAGTCAGAACCGTCAGAGGGCAGGAAGAAACCGGCCAGCGTCAGGTGACCACCACAGAGCATCACGGCTTTTTTTTCTTTTTTTTCCCCCCCACTATCAATCCTCATGTTTAGTGTCAAATAGCTTTATGTCAAACGTTCTGTATACAAGAGGCTGAATGTTTGTAACGCTGCAACCTCACAGGCACGGACCTGCAAGGTTTTAAAAACGCTGCGATTCACACTTTACTGAGCAACAGGAATTATATCTGTAAGTAAAGCAAGATAATTTCCTGTTTGTTTGTTTTTCAGCTCTATGTAATGAGGCGTTTGTCGGGTCGTGTTTCTTCTTCCTCGTACAATATCACTTTTGATCCTTTGTAATCTCTCTGCAAACTATTGCTTCAACTCAAGGTTTCGCATGTGCAAAGGTGAAAAAGAAAAAGGAAAAAAAAAAACCCTACCAAGGACTGCTGGACTTTATTGCAGGTTCATACTTTCATGAAATGGGTGAAAAGTCAAGAAAACAAACCGATTATTCCTACAGATGCGGCAAAGTGTCGGATTGACGGCGTGCACGTTTTCTGAAAGTGTGCTTCAGCTTTTTACATTCTTAAATGTCACTTCAAAGCTGGAAAAAAAATAGACTTTTAAAAATCCTTGTGTCCTTTTCTTACACAGCAAATTGAGGCTTTTTTAAAAATGGGGGCGTGAACTTTTAATTCCCACAGATATATGTGTAACGCTGCAACCTCCATTTTTTGTCTATTTTCTTTTTTGGGGGTTGTTTCACATCAGAAGTGGTCGTATGTTCTGAGCATCAGCGTGTGCCTCTGTTCAAAAACTTTTCCAAAGCCTTCGGTTGCTGCACACTGCTGGCAAGCTTGCTGAAACACTGTTGCCACACTTTCTCAATGTCGTCGAACCAGGAGCGCCTCATTCCAGTCTGCTCCTAAGAATAGTTTTGAAGTTTGTTGAAACTTTCCAACTCCTCCAATTCATGAATCCTGTGTGGGACCGAAGCTCTGTTTTCAGATTCCCTTGCCTGCCTTGAGCCAAAGCAGCCTCAAAGTAAACACACGTTCAGGATCCGACGTTTGCGTTCGGCCGATAACGTGACGTGCAGCTTCCCCGTCGTCATACTGTGCTGCCCGGCCGGAAACTCTGACCTCTTTCATCCAGCAGGCAGAAATCCGTGGAGCCGCCGTCGCCAATGCTGAGCCCGAGCGACTTTGAAACCAAGTTCAACCGGAAGAAATCCCAGACCAGCCAGGTAGCGATGCGTTCTCGAGTCCCGTTGAGCTTTTCCACCTGTCTGCTGCTCTGTGACGATTCCGTGGCGTGCTCTCTCGTTTTTTTCGCAGTTGTCAAAGACGAACGCACATTACCACAAGCTGTTCAAGGCGGTCAGCAAAGATGAGCTGCTCAAACAGAGTAAGCTCTGTGTCCTCCTGTTTTGGGTGGCATGTTTGGGTTGTTTAATTTTGGAAACCGAATGCGTTTCTCCCCACCAGGTTACACCTGCGCCCTGCAGAGAGACATGTTGTATCAGGGCAAAATGTTCGTCTCGCAGAACTGGATCTGCTTCCACTCCAAAGTCTTTGGCAAAGATATCAAGGTACGCCACAGAAAGACTGCAAACAGGGTACGTATGGCAATTTTCCAACACCGATCAGTTGGCGTTAATTGTGCTTCCTTGTTGCCAGATTTCCATCCCAGTGATGTCGGTGAAACTCATCAAAAAAACAAAGACTGCGTTATTAGTGCCAAACGCTCTTGTAATTGGAACTACAGACATCGATGTAAGTAAACGGTACAATTGGCGTTCTTCTTGGAATATAAACATAAAAGTGATGTTTTCTTTTGTCTTTTTTTTTTTAGCATGTCTTTGTGTCATTTCTCTCTCGAAACAACACCTTTAAATTTCTGAAATCCATCTGCCCTCATCTGGAGGTAAATAACATCCTCTTGAAATGTCAACAAACGAGTTAGTTGCATTTTTAAAGGTCCTTTTAAAATACCTTTTGTTGTCGCATTGTGGCTTTTTGTTGTGTTATTTCATGTGGATTTTGTTGGCTGTTTGGGGGCATTAAAAACAGGTAATTTGTTAAATTTGTAGTTACTTAACACAATATAACTTTTGAAATATATTACACATTTTTAGTCCCCCAAAAATTCAGGTACTACAAAAATATAACTGGTAATTTATGGAACCAGTATCTGAAAATAAATAAATCAATCAATCGTTCAAACAAAAAAAGTAACAATTTCCAAAAGTACTATCTGGTTTGGGTGTTTGTAGAGATTTCCACCAGTAGTTCCAGTTATTCTTCTAAAACCCGGCATGTTGTCATTGCAGGTGGATAAGATAAGTAGCAGCCCTGTAGCTTCCTCCTGTGAAAACAGCTTCAGAGCTAGCTGCCCCACGTCGCTTCCTCTGGTCAGTAAGGGGTCTGGTCCTTCCATTTTCTGCCATGTTTGTTCAGGACAAATTTATTGTACCTGGTCCATTGTGTTGGAATGCGGACGTGCATTGTTGTCGTGTAACTCAAGACCCCACCGGCACTTGCTGTGTGCTGTGCTGCGTGTGCGCCGCAGGACTTTTCGGGAGACTTCTGCGACCTGGATGGAGTTGTGCACCAGAGGCGGCAGGACATGATGGAGAGCAGCAGCTCTGGGTCGCAGACTCCAGATTATGATAAAATAAGCGGTGTGTGTGTTTTTGTTTTTTCCAATAAAATACCATGGACTACATCTTCATTTACTCTGCTCACAGTAACAAAAGGTTTCAGATGTCATAGTCTTTGTTTACGGCAACAAAAACCAAGTAGGACTCTTTCTACAACAAGAACAGTTTGCAGAAAAACTACTAATCCCCTGTAGGGACTAAAATAATCTTCAACAGTTTATTAGCTAAATAGACTGTTATGGGTTTTGGGGTCTATTTAGCAAACTAGACAAGCTACTCTATTTAGAAAGTTGACGATTAACTTAACTAGAAGTCTATTTAGCTATTAGCTAATAGACTAGTTGCTAGTAAGCTATTTAGCTACAAGCTAATAGACTAGTTGCTAGTAGTCAATTAGCTGGGAGTTAGAGTACTAGCTAGTCTATTTAGCTAATAGACTCCCCTCATGCTTTCTCTGGCCTTAAATGGCAAGAGCACTTGTTGATTTAAGTATTTTAAGGTAGTGTTAATATTTACTCAAGTAACTGGGCTGACAGCTTCTCTCTGTTTATGTCACAGACTTCAGCAGCCTCCCAGACACATTTCTGAGTGCAGCAAAGACCAGAGAGGTTTCGGTCCACGCAGACATTCACCTCCAGAACCCGAGCCAAAAGCATGGAGCCGCACTAAAAAATGGTATTTAAATCCGAGAGTAAAAAAAAAAAAAAGTCTGTTTAACTGTCATTGCCTCATTTTGTCCTGATAGATATGAGAGCAACATGTGTCCCGTGAGCACAGTTTGTCTCTTCACCACAGGGGGTTGTTCAAAGTGAATTTATTAATTTTTAATGTCTGGAGGTTATCTTTTCATTTGCAATTTATTGTGTCGTTTATAATTTCTTGGTGACATTTTTTCTTTGTCATGATAAGGTGCCACGATAAATTCCAGCAAAGTTTGGGAAAAAAAACTGACTAAGATGTTATTTTTACTTTTTTCTCGACTGTTTTTTCCACGAGAGAATGTATCGATATCAGTAAATTCAGAGATTAAATGATTAAACGAAGTCTCTACGTTTAATTTATCACTATATATCACCATTCAGTGCGTCCTGAAGAAGCTTATTTCAAATAGGAATGTTTTTTAAGAGCAGCATGTAGTCACCTAAAAAATACGTCAGTCGTTTTCAATACATTTGTTTCATCGCAACTCTTTGTTTTCACTATAGTACTGCAAAATGTTGTGATAAATTGTAAGTCCATATTATCAAAAAGTGGAAGGAGCATATTACATGTGTCAGTTTTCAAGTCATACCTTCGATTCTCAATTGGATTTAGTCCTGGACTTTGACTGGGCCATTCTGACGCCGTAATTTAATGTTTGGAGTCGGTCGCTTCTCACACAGTTCAAGCCGCTCCTGCTTTATCACATAGACCGCGCTTATCTATGTGTATACCTCTAGGCAAGGAGAGTGGATGCAAAGTAAACGCATTCTTGGCATATTGTTCAGGTCAGAAGCTACAAAGCAGAATGTTGCTTGTTGAGTCGGCCTGATGGAGAGTCTTGGGAGGCATCCCAAGGTCGTCTTTATTCATAGCAAAGCTGACCGTTTCCAGGCTTCTGCTACATCTGAGCTGCAGTGCGTCCAGTCAAAAGGCTACTGTCCATGTCAGCGTTACCTTGAAGTGCTGAAAAGTGTTCTATTGTTTTTCTTCCAGGCATGGATAAAACAATGGAAAGAGAAAACAGGATTTGGGAAATGTTTGATTTTGATATTTTACAGATTTGAATTTTTGGATTTTGACTTTGACTGAATGCACTCGTTCAAAAAATTTTAAGGCGCATCATTATGTGAAATTGACTTTTTTGAGCTTGCCATCATGTTATAATGTTATTCCCTCATCAAAAACCTGGAGTGTTACCTTGATTCGTTTGTGCATGTGTGAGAAATACGTTAATCTCCATGGCAACCACTCAGCTGAGCTGAATGTCTGGGCGGAGCCGGGTCCGCCTTCAAAGCCCAAGCTCCTCCTCAGAACTCCAAGCTTCCACCTCACAGCACATCCCCCCGTCTCCCACTCAGCTCCTTCAGACTAGCCAGCAGCAATTAGCAAACATCTGGTAAAGCAGCGCAGCTGCTGAGCTGATCATTAGCGATGACTTCCTGATTGCGTAGTTTCAGAAAGAGCACGCAGACAAAAAGTCAGATTTCAAGGCGTCAAAGTCAAACTTTATTTTAAGTTATATCTGACATATAAAGTACATCATTTTTATGAGAACTGAAGGTAACATTGTCACCTGATTGTACTGTAAAATGGCTCTATGTAGCTGGAAAATTACATAACACTTCCACTTTAAAAGCAGCCAATGAACAACCTGTTTTAACTTCCAATGAATCTTTACCTGGACTTGTGGTACAGAAACTGTTTCTGAAATGCCAGATTTAGCAAAAGCAAGGCTAACGTTCACAAGCTATTATTTGAAGAACTTTTCCCCAACATGCCAGAGAGAAGTAGCGCCCTTTTAGCGCACTCTCGACTACAAGATACATTAAAATATGAATTCTCGCTATTGAAAATGTTAAAAACCCCTGGATGCATTTTCCTACTTTCCTACTTCCATGCTGTGAGGTACTTCCTACCTCACAGCATGACATGTTTGCCCTCTTTTTTATCTGCGACTGCAGGCCAAAGCAAGCCGCCACATGGACTTGCACCAAAAGACTCGTCCTCGCAGCCAAAGTCTTTACACGTCATCCTCTTCATCTATCTGTTCTTGTGAGTAATCGCCTGAATATCACGAGTAGTCAACCAGCCGCTGTCTTTCTGCGCGGCGACGATTGTTCTGTGTGTAGCAGATCGAGGATTGCAACACGCGCTGCTATTCTTTTTTTTTTTTGTCTTTTTTCTTTGTCTCCACAGAGTCAGCGTTCTTGTCTTGTCCTCTTGTTACATGGCCTTCAAGATCGTGGCTCTTGAGCACCGCCTCAACTCCTTGCTGTCGATGGGGGAACTCGTTGATAACGAGTGAGAGCCCGGAACGTTTCAGCACCGTGCTTTCGGGTTGGCCGGGGTCTGCTAAATCGTTTCAAAACTTGTTGCAGAAATGCTGGGGGCCAGAGGTCGCAGGTCGAAGTGAACGCTGAGATCTACGGGGAGCTTTCCACTAACCTGTTCAAGTTGGAGAAGGTTTGCTCTGCTCATTTGCTGACTGCACAGATCTATCGCGTTTTAACTCACCGTTATCACCTCTTAGCCTAAGGCTAGCAAGGTGACCGTTTCAGAGGACCTCTTTTAAGATTAGGACAATCATGTTGCAGAGTTACTATAAACGTAAAACACAATCTGTTCATGTTTGCAGAGTAAACATGAGTCCGCCTCCCACGGCAGAGCGGCTTCGGCTAGAATGACGACTGTAAACAAGAGGGGAAGCTTTTACCTGGTTCTGTCCAGAGAGAACAAGAGTCCGCTTTGTCTGATATGTACATCTGGGAACTAATCTAGAAATGGAAATGGTTTACGGCCTCAAAAAAGCTTGGGCTGTCCCTGTGTGAAAGATACAGTTTTAATTCGTCCGTAAGGCTTTTTCTGCATCACCTTTTTAAGAAAATCCCTTCATACTCAGGAAGTAAAATAATTCCTCCTGACTGCAGCTAAGACAGACTTTGCTTTCATAAAACATTTCCAATGATCCCGGGCCCCGAGATCTCGGTCAAAAGACTCTTTTCACAAAACGGTTCAGTGTCTCGGCCTGAAAGATTCACCCTGTCACCAGTTTATGGATCACGAGTGGAGCTGACCGGCTGGGTCTGAGGGGCACGTCGCCAAATAGCAGTGTGCAAGTGATTAGTGGAGCTCAGAGATGCTTGAAAGTCTTGACGTCAGTTATGTTCTGATGTGGGTATCTAACAGAAATGAACAAAATAAATAAATAATCATCAGTTTAATTAAATAATTGAGAGAGGACCAGATTTCCTCCACAAAACTATAGGTAACCGATAAACTCATACAGAAAACAGCTGCTGAACGAAAAAGTTTAGCTTGGACATTGATGGCATATCATCACAAAGTGGAAGGAGCATATTACATGTGTCAGTTTTCAAGTCATACCTTTGATTCTCAATTGGATTTAGTCCTGGACTTTGACTGGGCCATTCTGACGGGCCATTAGTTGATGAGCTAAGTCTCCATAGCTATCTATTCAGCCCATAGAGATGACAAATGGCAAAAATCAACTTGCCCCGCCCAAGACCATTGTTCTGTTTTAACAGAGATACAGCGGCCTATTGTAAACGGCTAATCAATGTCCCTCTGTCTTGTCTCTCCTCTTGCTGTAGATTCAGAGGAACCTCAGGAAGCTTCTGGAGGAGACTTAAAGGAAGACCTGCGTATGTGTTTCTGTCCAGACGGAGGCCTGGCTGGTAAATTAGAGAGGCGGCGGGTTCCTGTGCGGCACATTTGGTGGCTCCGTTGCCAAAGCCTGGACAGCTCACACGCCGAGAGCTCAGTCTTAAAAAGCTGCGTGAACGTTCGCTGTGCAATAATAGCCTCTCTCTGCGTTTCCCTCAGGACTTTTCTGTCTCCCGTTTCAAAACAAAGCAGTGCTGCAGCTTTACGGCAGCATATTTCGTGTGCTGTATTTTAGCTGGCAGTTTCATGGCAATGGTAGGTTGTTTTTTTTTTGTTTTTAACACACTCACACGTAAATATCTATGTATATCAGAATGACCATGAAGGTTAGGTTCATAAGTGCAATTGTCAGTGTTCTGAAACATTTCTTAAAAGGTCAAAGGTCAAATAGTGCTCTCTTTCGCTTAGAGGTGAAATGCCAATAGACTCTCAGCTGAAGATGTTTGCACAATATAGGAAAGTACTTTCTTATGGTGAAAAAAAAGTCCATAGTGCTTTTGTAAATATTTGCTCTAACTCACATGAGTGGTATGTTTTGAAAAAAAAATTTTAATAATGAGATTATATTAGGTCTATTTATCACAGATGTTTCGCTAGAAGACTTGATTAAATTTGAGAATCAGATGCTTTGATTTTGTAATCGGATAAATTATGTTCACGAGAATAAACTTTCTTCCTCAGACTTTCGCTGAACTGAACTGAAACCGGAAGAGCGGTGCTTAGACATACGCAGACAGTACGTGTTTGTTTTGCGGTGCTGGTATCAGTTTTCCAGAATCAGCTGAACTTTTGCCTCGACGGGGTCGTCTCTCGTCGGCAGACGGCGGGTTGCATCAGGTTGGTGTGGCGGTCGGCAGACGGCAGTCAAATGAATGCAAAAAAGAAAAAGCAAAGATATCAATTAGCTCATGTATTGCCCGAATAAGTGGCGGAGGCATAACTCTATTTGAGGCTTGGATGCTGAGCTAATCAAGGAAAATTTTAAATGGTTGCAAATGCTGAGCCAATACAGCGGGACGTTAAAAGTGACTCCTCCACAGGCTATACTGGTTGTGTGAGAGGTGAGAAGGAATCCAAGGGTCACCACCACCAAAGGCAATCCTGAAGAATGTAGGCCAAGCAGAGAGCAACATTTCACAGTGCAGCAAACACTGCTGGGTGCAGGTCACGGAGGAAGGCTGTTCTGTGATCAAATGAAACAAAAACATATCTGTTGTTAGGCCACAATAATATAGCTTTCAGTTAGTTTAAAAAAAAAAAAGAAGAAAAACATTCAACGCCAAATCATCGTCTTTGTGGGCCTGCTTGAAGAAAAGAACATAATGGTTTGGTCCTTTGTTAGCCACTGGGACAGGGAGGCTAATCAAAGCCACTGGTATTGGGAATAAAAGAACACTGAACTAGCAACATCGGGAAATCCGAAGAGAAACTTAATCCTGAGCAACATTGGACATGGCAAGGCTAAAGTGGTGAAGAAGTGTTTGGATCCTTTAAAAAAAATGATGTTTTTAAGTGTCTCAGCTAGAACATCTAGCTAATCAGTGGACAGAGCTAAAGATTAGCTAAAGATCCTTACACCAATGGAGACAATTGTTTGGTTTCTTCAACAGCCAATAGAGTTTTTTTTTTTTATTAATAATTGAGAAGCAGAAGAATAATTCTGTATATTTGAACAATGTTTTTTAATTCTAAATAAAAAACAACTAATTTTTATTATTATTATTTTTTAAAAATATTGTCTTATAGAAATCAGTGAAGTAGGTGAAAGGTAAAAGGTAAGAGTTCAAAAGTCAATATAACTCCTCAGAACATCAGTGGAAATTTGCAAAAGGCTCACCAGCAATTATTAGAAGAGTTGTAAAAATGTTCCCATTGACTACAGCAGTAAATATTTCTAACTTAAAATTTTGACTAAAATGGGAATAAAAACGATATATGTATTTATATATATATTTAAAATTGACCCAGCCTTTTAAGCTTTAAATCGTGTTTTTAGGGATACCGGTCTAATTTTCTATCAGAAATAAACTTACTGTTAAAGTGAAGTAATTTCTGCTATTAATATGACAAAGAGCGTATAGATAATTTTGAATGAACTATTAATATACAGACTATTAATATAGAGTGAATTTGTACTATTAAATGGAGTGAGACACTTTCTGGAAGGAAAGATATTCTTCATTGAGAAAAAGTGAGTCAAAGAAGCACCTGCGTGTATGAAAACGGCATAAAAATATATACATATATATATAAATAAAAAAGACAGGTACGAACATTGGGGCTATTAAAAACAACCGTGTACGGAGACAGGGACGCGGCTGTTTATAGGCTCCTCTGCCTCGGCGGGTCCGCCTCCTCTCCCGGTTCTCAGCCAATCAGCGGTCCGCCTTTCCAGCTGGTCTGCCTGTCAACCCACGTCCAGCCCACCGCATGACGTAACGCCCAGTCTGAAAGTGCAATGGCGATATTGGACAATAACAGCCATCGCGTTGGGGGACCACATCTGTATTATGTGGCTAACGTCGAAGAAAACACCTCGAGCCGGCTGCGACACCACATATAATAACGGCAGAGCGCACGAGCGGGAGTCTGCGAGCGGGAACGGGATTTCACAGCCTGCGCGCGGGATGACAGTTTAGACTAAAACCGTTGGTAAGTGTGAACTCCACCGCTGGCCGCGGCGCTCACAAAGAGACGGCGTTTAAAAAGCTACACGGTTTGTTACAGACGGCAAAAGCTTCACATTTCAAAGGGGCGTGGCCGCGCGCTCAGGGTACCACTCACTAAAGGAGGCTGATAGCTTAGCAACAGCGACAAGGAAGGAGCAGCAAGAAGCGAGCGGAAAGAGACAATGGATGTGCAGCCTGGCCGCTCGGTTTCTGGGCAGACTGCGAGGGAAAACGAGGGAGATCCCCAGCAGTTTGCTCCCGGTGAAGTGGAAGGAGCCGCGGATGCAGAGTGGAAATGTAAACAAAGGGTGTGGGCCTCTCAGCTGGCCTGTGATGCTCTGTCACACAAACACACATGCACACACACTACCCCTTACTACTGTAAGTCAGGTTTTACACACACAATGGAAACACATCTGCGACAGATTGTCACCATCCCTGAGTCTAATTTCTGTTGCCTTTGTCCTGGAAGAAAATAACAAACTTATTTGTTTCACTGATCGTTTAAAAGAGATCTTAGAATATTTCCACAGATCTAAGGAAAGCATAAACTATATTCTTTAATACGTTTCTGACCCTTCTGTGAAGATTAATGCATTTTTTTTGTTGAATGTCTTTTAGGATTAAAAAAAATGTCTTTTTATTAGGATGGAGCTCTTTATTGTTATTACAAAAAAAAAGAAACAAAAGTGAAATATCAATAATTATATCAGCTCACTTGGGGTCAACAGGTCTCCATTACAACCACCAGATGTGTTCACAACCCCTGTTAAACATATCACCTGTTTTGTAATTTGCAAAAAATGTGATCATGATAAATTATTTCAACATGTTCTCCGCATATGAGGTGACATTCATTTTGCACAGATGAAATATAAAATCTAAGAGTGACCATCACTAAGCTTTGTTGACTCTCCCTGTGACCACACAGGATTAAAGCCAATGGAAGAAAAAATAGAATCCTACTTCTGAGATTATGGTCAGAATTGTGAGAACAACAACAAAGTCAGGGCATAATCCAAACTCCGGTTTCTCTCTCTTGACCTTTGCCATCTCCACCCAGGTGTGACGTGTAAACAGACGCCATGGCCACACAGGAACCATCCCCTCCGTCGTCCATGGAGAGCAATAAACCCGGCTACCCCAAGAAGATCCTGGGCAACAAGCTGGAGGACAAGCACCTGTGCAACTGCTGCCACAACATCCTCAGGCGGCCATTTCAAGCCCAGTGTGGACATCGCTTCTGCTCCTTCTGCTTCAACAGGACCGTGAGGTCAGAATCGTGATTGGTCGAGGCCGGGAAAACGGGAAGCCGTGCGACCAGTCTTTGTTGCCGTGCTGAGCTTGTGCGTTTTTATAAGCAAAATCAACAACGCTATGCTTCAAGATGATCTTAGGATGCATTTAAATTTCATCTCGCATCTACAAAGGCACCAGTCAGCTCACCCACGCGCTCAGCGGTGAACACGGAGCCAGATATTTACCCCGGGATGCGGCGGAGCCTCAAAGACAGAAAGCAATAATGTTGATTCTGGAACTACGTTTCATTGAGACACAAAACTAAGTCGTAGATTTATGACTGTGATCCATAGTGGACTAAAAGGCTGCAACAAATGAGAATAATTCCAGGTTTCATTTTCTTTTCCATTTATGCAATTGCTCAGAGTAATCATCTGAAAATATTTTGTCTGATGAGCTTTGTTTTAGGCAAGATTAAACAGAAACAAGACCATTTTTCACAATCAAGCTGAGAACTTCAGTTCCTACAAAATAACAGCAAGTCCTATGTATGTAATTTTAAAGAATAATTAATAATAATAAAAAAACGTTCTTGCTGATCTCTAAACATCTGACATCACATTTTTGCAAGATAAAAGTGTAGTGGCCTTTCAGCCTCCTGACTGTGGGTGCGCAGCAACAGGTGGGGGAGGTGCAGTGCTGGGTTGCTCCCCTCAGCCCAGTAAAACGTCGATCACTCCAGCAATTTCTTTGGCATCGCAATAGCAACATTTTAATGCATTATTTTGAAATTGTAGGTTTTTAAAACTCTGTGCTGAGAGCTCCCCGACCAGCAGGGAGCGACGACGCACTCAAGTTTTTAAAAAAAGAACAATGTTTGGGAGTTGATTTTAAAAAAATCTTGTTGTCGATAACTGCACATAAAAATGCAAAGTTTTAAGTGTCAAATTCCTCATTCAACTGGCATATAGATGTCATTTTTCCATTGCTGCTTGTAAAAACAAACAATTACTCGACTTCACCTGGTCTGTATTTAAATCATAATGAATGTAGCTGCTAGCTTAAGCTGGAAAAGTTGTAATAAATAGCATGTTTCGATTTATTACATCTTGACATGTTTGTAATGAACATGTTTGGAGTCGTCAGAAGGGAGCAGAGAAGGTGTAGGGTTTCTGTTTTTAACCCTTCGTGGTGGGCGCCTGGTGGCAGTATGTATTCAAGAGAACAAGATATAAACTAACTTGTTTCATGTGAATCCGTTGCAGTAATGGACCCCAGAAATGCAACGCTTGCATAAAAGAAGATATTTTTGAGGAGCCGACATCAGTTTTGAAGCAGGGATGTGTGAGTATCACGGCACGTTGGGGTGGCTTAATTCGTCTATGTTTGTTTTCTTAATATTGAGCAGAATAAACCATGTTTATTAGATTATTTTAGTCCTTTTAAGGAATCACATTTATAGTCCCTCCTGTGTCTTTTCCAGGCATTTCCTGACAATGCCGTTCGAAGGGAAGTTGAAAGCCTGTCTGCGGTTTGTATCAATGAGGACTGTACTTGGGAAGGAACCATTAAAGAGTATGAGGTTTGTTCTACTCCTCTTTTGTTTGCATGTTTCATTGTGATTCTGGGAAACGTTTGCAATGCAAATAGTCATTGAATCATCCCTCAATAGAGACATTGCAGGCTATCAATGCAATGTAAATTTGCAAGCACCTAAAAGCACAAAAATGCACAAATTAAAAGTGAGCAAAAATATGGAAAATAAAGACAAACG